CCCCCCCAGCCCCAACCACATCCTCTCCACTTGCTAGGCCTGGACCTCTGCTCTTGGACAGAGATTGGAGTCATTTTTTCAGGTCTCTGTAGATGAGATGTGGAGCAAAAGAGACGGTACTGGGGGTGGCTGCCCATCTCTGCCCATGCTTGGCCCTTTCCCCTCAGGTAGCCGATCCTGAACCCCTTTTCTTTTTCTGCTGGTACTTGCATTACTGGTCCCAGCACAGACCCATCCCTCTCCCGTCAGGTCTCTCTCAGGATAAGCATTAGCAAGGGACATTGCTCCTCCAGTCGGTATCATGGGCATTCCTACAGATTACCCTGTTTTTGACACCGATGATCAAACTAGCCTTGTCAGGTACTGATCTGGGGCCTTCTGGAGGGGGAGGACTAGTGTGTAATGAGACAAGGTTCTTTGGGTAAAACTGACATCTTTTATTAGACCAACTCAGATGGTCAGAAAAATTCTTCTTTGCAAGCTTTTGGGTATAAATACCCTTTGTCAGGCTGAGGAAGCACCTGCAGTTGGTATGTGCTCCTCCTGGATGGAATGAATATGTCCTTAGACCAACACAGCTACAACCTATGCTCCTGTAAGTGTGCAGTGAGAGCGTCGGAGCTTGGTGGCCCCATTCCCCGCTGAAGCATTGCAACCTCCTGTAGGGGCTCATCATGCGATTGCATCCTTTCTCACACAACAACTCTTGAGGTCCTTTGAATTTCCTCCCTACTGCTCTGAGCCAGGGCCCTAGCATCCTTCAACCAAGGGCTTCTGGCTCCCTTGGTACTCCCCACACTATATCCCTCACCCGCTAGAGGGCATCATGGCTTTGCTTTGCTAAGTTCAACAGGCCACTAACTAACTATTAAGTGCCACTAACAGCCAAAAGGCAATCAGGACTCATAGTATAGATGATATCTTTTAATAGACCAACAAGATTGCAAAAAAAAAGTCTTTAATTTCATAGATTTCATAGACATTAGGGCTGGAAGGGACCTCGGGAGATCATCGCGTCCAGCCCCCTGCCCCAGGGGCAAGAAGTCAGCTAGGGTCAAAGGATCCCAGCAAGATAGGCGTCCAAGTGTTTCTTAAAAGAGTCCAGAGTAGGTGCTTGCAAGCTTTCGGGCACAAACACCCTTCATCAGGCACTGGAGAAAAGATGCATCGCGAGAAAATCGCTATTCTTGGGTTTACTGATGTTTAGTCCGGCACCGTGTAATATGGTGAGTCCAGAGGTTGGGCTTGATATGAGCGACTTTGCTTTGCAAAGGGCATCAGGTCTGCCCGGATATTGTCTATGGGGGTAGAAAGTGGATGGCATCTCCTAAAACAGGCGACCTTTCCACCTCAGGAAGTCTTTGTACCTTTGATCACCAGGCTCTGTTATGAATATAACAGGGGCAGTAAAGTGAGAGGAAAAGGGAAGGGCAGTAAACAGTCAGCTAAGCCTGGCACTCTTCCATAACTACAGCCTCTATCGCTTTCTTTCCGTTGGTGAATGCTGGGTGGAAAAAGGTATTGGAAATTCATTTGCATTGAGCATGATTTGCAGGCCCTCCCTGTTGGACAGGTATCAGGTAAGTCCCACTGGCTCCTTTAAATGCTTTATGTTCACACCAGTGATTGTCGAAATCCCCCGGTTCTCCCTAACTAAACAGAAAGTGAAGACACGAGAGAGCTGGAGCCTGAGTCAGGCAAAGACCCAGGTGTCTTGCAGCCTTTTCTCAAGTTGCTCAATATAGAGCAAAAGGTCCTTTACATTTCCAAAGGCAGGGCACGTGGGGAGAGAGGAAGGGATAGCTTTGAGCTGAACATAGCAGAGCAATTAGTAACACCAGTCACAAAGTATGTAGTTTTTTACAAGTTATGTGGGTGGCATTTAATGCTGAAGAGGCATAAAAGGATCAGACGGGGCTGCTGAGTCACAGAATTGTTGCAATGGTGCCTCCTAGTACAGGGAAGAGGAAGGAGAAGTTTCTTTCCCCCTGTTCTCCGTTTCTGCAGGGGTGAACAAGAGATGGACTCCGCAGTCTTTTTGTACCAGGGAAGGATCCCTGCAGTAGCAGCCCACTTGTCCTTTCCCATTCTTCACTGCATCCCAGGTCAGAATCAGGGTATCTTTCTGCATATGCTTGTGCACCTATTAGTGAGACAGTTCATTAGTGGATGGTTCATTGGGTTATGTTGCCAACTTTCATTAATTTATTGTGAGGTTTATAATATTTTATGCCTTGCTTAAAGTTCCCGCTCCCAGAGTTGTGTAATAATATCAGAATGCAGCATTGTCATCTCTTTGCTTGCAAGTCTTGGGATGTTTGATGTTTGGAAATCTTTGGTTCCTGGAATCATGATTCTCCTGAAGCAACTTGCATTAAAAAAGCAAGTTGCTAGCCCTCAGGGTTGTGGGGAAAAGCCTGAAAACAAACCCTACAGGTAGATAAAATGCTCTCAAATAGATTTTGCCTCCCAAAGCATGTGATTTTTCTTGTCTGGTAGCAGTGCAAGGAAATACCATAGTATAGTACTTAGGGTTGGAAGGGACCTAAACAGATCATCAGGTCTGACCCCCTGCCCCGGGCAGGAACGGGTGCCAGGGTCATATCCCCCCAGCCACATATCTGTCCAGCCTCCTCTTGAAGACCCCCAAGGTAGGAGAGAGCACCACCTCACTTGGGAGCCCATTCCAGAGCCTGGCAGCCCTAACTGTAAAGTAATGTCTCCGGATGTCCAGCCTGAACCGTCTCTCTAACAATTTGTGGCTGTTATCCCTAGTAACCCCGGGTGGTGCCTGGGGGAACAGAGCCTCCCCCCATTCCTGC